GCCACAGACCACTCAGAGCTGAAATATTTTGGTAGCACTCCTGCATTAAATATTTTGATGAAACACTTGAGTATAAGACATTAAAGGAATGAACGTTATTTAACTTTTTAAGGTCAAACACGTTTTACTAACAGTATTAATTATGTGGCATTACTTGGGAGTTGGGACAATAAACTAAACAAAATAACATAATCCATAAACATGTCACTCATAAAAATGTCAATCAGTAGAGCCTAAGTTGCTATATCATTGTAGATTTACATTTAAGAAAAGAGTAAATTATGCATGCATTGTCATTAGCTTCCATCATCTCTAATGGAGCCAAATATTCACTATTTTTGGCTTTCGGGTATGATGGAAGAAAGCAAAATGACTCTTTAAACTCTTTGTGCTTCTTTCAATAGTAAAGTGCTCATCATCGGTCATCTAGAAACTGCCGATCTATGATTTAAACATAGGGGCCAGGCTGCATACATCCGACCCCCCCCCACCACACCTTGCAAAGGGTGGGAGCCTTTGAGGCACTGGTGTAATGTTGTTGTTATTGTTGTTTATGCATGCATTATCATTACCTCTAATGAAGGAGAAATTTGAAGCAGCTGATGAAGTAGTTACGTTAGTGGGATCATGAGATCTCTCAACAGTTATTGGTTGTGAATCAGTTTTTAAACCAAAAACATGAACAGTTCCTTTATCACTAGAGACAGCTAGCCATTGAGCAGTTGAATTAAAGGCAAGGCTGTATATCTCAGCTCTGTCTGCACCTCTTCTAACCTACATTAAAAAAAAATAATAAGGATAGTCTTAGAAACTGCATACAATGAGCCACATTTGAAATATTAAAAGCCGTCCTATGTTCCTTATCCTTGAACTTAGAGAGCACATAATTTTTTATATACATGATACATATCAAACTCCTATTTTTAGTTAGAAAGAAATAATGTTCAAAGGATATAGCTAAGAAAAATCCAGTATGCTAGATAATAACAGCACTTGCAGTCCAGCACAAAATTGTCATACCCCTGTCTATAATCCAAGAGTGCAAGTGCATAGGACAATACACATCGATCACAATACTAGCATAATACTTGGCATTGAAAAATTTTAAATGTCCAAGTTCAAGATCCTGAAGGGCCGAGCAATAACAGGTCCAAGTTCTAATGTACCATTAAAATCAGCAAAAAAGGAACATTGGTAGAACACATCAAACAATGAATAGCTTTCCCCGGGTGATCAGATACCAATATTAAAGGTTTAAGGGAAAAGGATTTGCTAAGGGAGGCACATATTGGCTTACAGATTTCTACGAGTGAAATATATGATTTCAATGAAAGAATTTGTCCTCAAACAAAAAACATAAATCTGTAGCAAGTTCTTGAGCTTGAAAACTCTCCATGGCTACGATTCTACTTCAGTCAACCCCTTCAAGCTGATGCAACATTGTTGAAGATGCTCTAACTTTCAGCCATAGAGTATTAGCATTTTTATTTATTTTTATTGCATAAAACACTTATGTTTTCCCCCTTTTGGAAGCACTCTCTATCCCAAACGCAAAATGCAAAAATACAGAATGCTGATATTTCAAAGGTACGAACAGCTACAAGAAAAGTACTTCAAGCTTAAAACTTTCATGCATTATGACTCACAATAAACTGTAAACATTAAGTACCTCTTGCACCATTGATCCTTCTAAAGTATTGTACACTCTAACAAGAGTCCCTTTACTGCTTGCAGTTGCCAGCAACTTCCCATCGTTTGTGAGTGCAAAGCATGAGATCCTCGAGGTGTGTGCCATAATAAACTTTGTTTTCTTGGAAGCATAGTGCTCAATCCTCACTTGTCCCTTCTGCAACCCAGGGCAAACCAATACTATAGACCCAAACACATGGGAGATCTCGCACAATCCCTTCGGGTTTGCCACAGTTTCTATCTGATGCAACAGCTTCAAATCCGTGAAATTGTAAACTAATATCTTCTGAGCCAGAACAACTACAATCCTGTCCCTCCGAAGCCTGACAGATTTCACTTCAGAGCGAAACGACAGCTCACCTATGCACCTAGACTGGTGATCATCCCAGATCATGACTTTATTCAAGGGATACTGCGGCCCGGGACCTCCACCAACCAGGGCCAGGATGTTACACCGAAAGAGCATCTGAACCGCACCAATCCCACCGCGCCCGCCACTGTTGGAGAAGTCCCTGCGGAAAATCTCTCGAAAAGGATCGCAGTTATAGATTCGGAAACCACAATCGGTTCCGGCAGCAAAGCAGGCGTGGTCCTGGTTGAATGATAGGTGGAGGAGGGATGGTGTAAAGGAATCTACAGGTTGAGAAGAAGTGTTAGGGTTAAGATTCGGTGCAATCGCAGCGTTTAGAGGAGAAGATGTCAGGGGGCGGCGGGGATCCTCGTCAGAGTCTGCAGAAATGACGGCGGATGAGAGAGCGGAGAGGTCGGAGAGCGGGGAGTGGTGATCTGCGTCGGGACTGTGAGGGGGAGGAGAGCTGTCGGCCATGAATGGAGGAGGAGCGAGGCGGGGATCGGAACGGTTAAGGGGAGGCCAGGTGGGGGAAGACGGCAGCGTGGAGGTCATCGAGCGACGGAGCACGGCGGAAGAAAAGGAGGAAGTGTCAACTGTGCGGTGGCGGTGGCAAGAGGCAAAATAAAGCTTGACGTTAGGAGTTGGATGTTTGATGATTCCGTGCTCATTTCATTTGGGAATTGGGAGTCCGAATAAAAATCATCATACTGTATCCCTTTGTAATGAGGAGTCCTTGCTAGCATAGTTATTCCGAACTAAACAGGTAAAAGGATTGGTTTACTCCATACCATTCACGCCAAACAAGTTAAGATACTGACTCATTAGTTCACTCGTCGAACTAGTGATCCAAATATATTTAAAAAATTATATTATATTAAAACTTAATTAAATAAATATTTTCCTATTTTTAAAACTATTTTATTGCTAACAAAAATCACAAACTGTTTCGAAAATGCTACGGACCTGAATAGATGAGGTCGTTACAATCTCTGGGGAACAAACTCATAAACCTTGATAGGTGGTGGAAACTTGAGTGAATCATTTGAGAACTGGACTAGCCACATGTATGGTGAAGTCAGATATATCAGTATGTTTTGTCTCGTCTCTTTACTATCTTATATTTGATGCATGTTTATTTTTATACACACACTAAGCAAAACTTGATACAATACAGACACAATTGTATTCACCCCTATAGTTGAGCACATTTTCTAAGAATTGGTATCAAGGCTTGTATCTCTTAATACGTATAACTATTTGAGAAAACGATCTATTTTTTGAGAATATTATACGTGGGTATTCTTGAATGACAATCAACAGCGAGGTCACCATTATTTGATTTAGTAAAATATTCATGTTGGAAAGGAAGTCTATTTGTTCAATCTAATGATATCAGATTATGACTAGTTAACAAGAATGGAGGATGTTTGCAAAGAAGGTCAGAGACGAAAACATTGTACACCTGAGGATGAATATGATAAAGCAAAGTAAAGGTTTAGTAAAATGTAAAAGTCATCATCAACTTAATTTAATGTGCAGTTAATCTTGATGATTATAAAAAAATCTCACATTGCCAAACTGTCAAACAAATAAGCATAAACTTGAGATCACTTGTGAGGATTTGCTAATCCATGAATGTTACTCCGTGAACGTGTACAGTCAAGTCCAAAAGATAATTATAAGACGGATTATTCATGAATCATTATCTCTACTAGCTAGTTAATAATCAATCAATTTTGTTAACAAAAATACGAAAGAATGGATGTTGTGTCCCGCTAGGAGCTAAATGAAAAATCAGAAAGAAAGATTATGGTATCACTATTGTAACCTCCACACTCCATACATTGATGATTTAATTTGAAGTATTTATAATTGTAGAATGTACATACTATTACATATAGTTATCCAGAGAATAAAAATAGACTCCCGGTAACATTAATGTACCCCTATCTTTCAAAATAAATCATAGTACTATTTACTATCCCACCATCACAATAACTCTAGTTTATTTATATGTATTTATTGTGATTCAGGTCTATGAGATAATTATTTAAGTGGGCTTTATCAACCGATACCCGAAAGGCTGCAATATCCCAATAAGATGCAGGAATGAAACAAGAATGAGCCGAGTAATAGGAGACGAAAGCCTTGGGGCGCAAGACTAGGAGAGATGCAATTCCTTCTAAGATTTGGATGCCTAATTTATCTCCCCATAAGATGTAAAAATAGACCTTTCGTGTTAGGGGAAAGGAGACCAAAAATTCATTGAATGCACAACATATTATGGGGAGATAAATTAGGCATCCAAAATATGGATCTTTAGATCCATATTTTTCTTAAGAATAAGAAAAATTCATTTTTCTTATTCTTATTTTCTTGATTAGATCTTGAGATCCACCACATTGATTATTTCATAAAATAAAATATTTTTATCACTTATTTTGTAGAATTTTTAACGAATCTTTTGAAATATGAAAATTTACTTTCTATTTTTACACTAATTTTTGAATAAAACAATTTCAAAAAATATAAGATTTTGTCTCGTAACTTCCTCCATGTAATGCATTTAGAGACAAAGGTAGTATGACATTACATCAAAGTATTAATGAGACTCCACAACCTAACAATTTAATGATAAAAAGTCTAACCATAATTTTGAGAAAGAAGTGTGCATTGTCCCAAAACCAATGAATCTTTACGCTTTCAAAGCCCTTATGAGAATTGGCAATTCGTTTATGGTAAAATTTCACTTTGTGACGCCAAAAAGAGCATGGAACAAATATCAAAAGCTACATGTTGACAATAAATTAAAAAAAAAAGAGCAAACAAGCAATGAGGGCATTATCACTATCACCATCAATACAATCAAGTTCATGAAAGCATTCCCAAAATACAAAAAACATTTCATGGATATAAGACCGGCAAAGCGCGGATCGGCGTGAACACGCACGTCTTCTATTCACATCAAGCAGGCAGACCGAAAGCCCGCGGCACATGTCTCCGGGCCAAAACGGGCATCAAATCAAGTCCCCACAAAGGGGAAATTTTCCATTTTTCTTGTTTTCTTGTCTTGTCTTGTCTTGTCTTGTTTGGGCCAAGGACACTTATTTATGAGACCCCTCTCCTATCCTAGACCATATAATCATCTCACAAGGGACAGTAAGGGGTGTAGCCCAGTAGGTTGGTCAAATTGGTCACAACTTCATGGCACTTCAAGAGAAGGCTTAGCATCTGTTGGGAAATGTCTATATTTGGGGTGGCAAGTGGGGGATCAAAATTATGCACGTTTAGTGGTGCCGGTGGAGGAGGAAGAAGCACCGGGGGAAACTGCGGCGGAGTGGGGAGAATGCCCTTTGAAATATTTTTGTTGACATTAGTAGTAGTAGTAGTAGAAGTATCAGAAGATGATAGTGAAGTAAAAGCAGTCGTTTTGGGGTGGTTCTTACTAACATCATTCGACAGCTCGCCTCTATTACTATCTTCTCCCCCACCCAAATCAAATTTTACACGGGTGGTGCTCCTATTGCTACCATTGCCGTTGACCACCGCCTCTTCACTCGGCGGTGCCCTTTTCAGGCAAGACTTTAGCTGCTGCTGCTGCTGCTGGAGCAATCTGGCAGATGCAGAATCTTTGTTTGACTGGGAGGAGCCATCCCCTCCGGCGGCGGAGAGGTCTCCTTCCCTTGGTGGAGGGCCCCACGCTCCCTTGGCGGCAGCGGCGGCTGTTTCGGGCGGCGCGTCGGCTTCGCGGAGGGAGCATTTGACGTCGGTGTTGCCGAAGAGTTGGGTGGAACTCTCCGCGTACTTGAGTGCGGCCTCCGCGTGGTGCTTGTAGCGGTACACGAGCCGGCATGTTGAGGACTTCCAGAAGATCCGGGTGGCGGAGAGGTCGAGGGGTCCAAAGCGAGAGAATTTCACTTTGAGCTCGGGAAGCGAAGGGAGTGCCCCTCTGGGAGGGAATTTAATGAGGAGCATGGTTGGTGCGGAGGACACCTTTGCCGGCGACTGTTGTTCAGTCATCATCATCTTCTTGCTCAACTCTGGTGGCTTGGCTACTACTTTCTTTAGTGGCACTTCGGAACTCCTCTGGGGATCCCTTCTCTCTCCCGTCATCATCTTCAGATCGTTCATTTTCTTCTTCTTTTTGACAGAGATCTCCTCCTGCCTATCTGATGGGGCACGCTTCCGCGCAACCCTTGAGGGGTCATCAACCCTCACAGAAGGCTTCTTCGGCTTAGATGGTGCACCATCTGATCTACTGGGATGGGCTTCGCTAACTGATTCGTTCTCTGTTGGTGACTCGTTTTCCAAGCTCTTCTGATAAACAAGGGACCGAAAGCGCAAAAAGGCAGTTCTTGTGGTTGTAGAACAATCCCTGCCCAGGGCATAGAATGGATTCAGAGCCAGACATTGCAATTCGCATAGCAGTTGAGGGAGTTCAATGCCTTTTCTAATCTCTGCAGCTTGATGAGAAACTGCCCCGTGCTCGCTTCGCTTGTTATCCATCTCAGTGACTGCTTCCTCCACAACAGGACCTGAATCTCTTCCTAATAAACTCTGATTCTCAACCCTATCCACACCACCAGACACAATTTGCTTCTCGGGGAAATTAGAGAAGCCAGTGTTCATGCCTGGAACTTTCTTCTTTTTCTTCTTATCCTCCTCCAGTAGCCGACTGGTTTCAAAAGGGCGTTTACGGCTTTTTGCCTTTTCCATACTGCCAAGAGAAGGTGCTTTAGATCCTTCAGGCTGGGGCTTTGCTTCTGCGGGAAGTGAAATATGATGCACTTCACCAACACAATCTTGAGCTTGCAACCCACTTCTGTGTGATTCCACTGTAGCAGCAGCAGCATTTTGATTGCGAGGTTGCTCTAGACGTGGTTCAACAGAAGTGCACGATGCATTATTCTCAGCTATGCTGGGGCTGTCTACAAGAATAGGCAGCTGTTTAGAGGCACCAATAGCTTGCACCTCACCAGCTTTGTGGCTTTTCACGTTCTCGGGTTCATCTCTGCGCTTGAAGAGATATCTGTCCTTCTCTGTCTTATCTGTAGCTTTGGTATGTTTTAGTGAAGGTTTTCCTTTACCCACAGCCTCGAAAGAAACTAGTCTACCACCAACGGACGCTGTAAAAGTCATGGAGTAGGAATAAGTGGGCAAATACGAAAAATACAAATTCAATATTGAAATGTTTAGCACTAATTGACGGCACAAAAAATTATAGCAGTTTCTTAAAATACATAGGCATGTCATAAGGGGAAACCATATGCATAACTTAACAATACACATCATTAACTTCAACATGGAGCACAAGTCAGTCAACAAGGTTGGATATTATCACATTTGTCATCTATTAAAAAATAAACTTTACGACTGGAGCTCTCATTTATTTAGCTCCACACTAATCAACATTAATATCAGTAGCCACAAGCAGAATGGTTAATTTTTTACACTTTAATTACAGTGCTTATAATAATTTCAGTGTATATGCATTGTATGTAAGTGTTTTCAATTGATTTTATTCCAGCAAGTGAACTTTTTTGCATTTACAACCATCATAATTATCTTACATCTAACTTGAGTGTGATCCACATGCAACCAACCATCTACATATACACATATACAAATGGTTCTAAACCCAACACCTTAGTTGTTTAACACATTAGTTGGAGCAAACCCGAATACCTACACAAATATGGCTTATTTTCATTTCTTTCAATGAAATATGATTTCT